CACACACACACACACACACACACACACACACAGCTTTTTAATGCTTTTATCATAGTGAAAAAACATGGTGCTGATGCTAATTTTATTGGTCAAATTATTCATAATTTATTTTATTGGTTGTTTTCAAAACAGTTTGTAGAATATTTTAAGCAAATAAAGCTGTGAGCTCAATTTATCTGGACAATAAAAGTAAGTTTGACCTTGCGTGAAGCATCTTTTCAATTTTMAAATACATATTACTTCTCAGACAGGAACCTTTGGATGGCTTTTTCATAAAGGATGCTGTCGCCATAGCAACAAAAAAAATCATCTGTTACGCCTTTTCCAACAGATATAATCTCTCTTGATGGCTGGATGTTTTTGAACCGTAAACCAGTTTTGCCAACAGTTTGTGGCAGCAGCGTCACTGTAAGCAGTTAAAGAGAAATTCTTAGGGAAGCGCAACAAGGGAGATGACAGATTGTGTTGTTCGGTGTCAAGCTTTTATCATCTCACCACAGAATTTCATGAATCTGTCAAAACAAGTGACTGTCAGCTTCAATAAAATGCTGATCAGATCCTGTCCAATAATTCTTTATTTTTACTTCCTTTTTTGGGTGGTTGTTTGAACGTTATGAAATAACCAACCTTTTGGTTGAATTGGTGCAAATCCTAACATCTAACACATCTAACACCATATTAGTTTGGCTCTTTTAGCATCTTCTCCCATCAGCTGACACTTGTCAGCATCATTTCCTCTGCAACACTGGGACAACAGTTAGATATTTTTAAAAAGTTTGTTTTTTTACTTTGCAAGAGATGCTAGTTTTAAAAGCTACTCTTCTGTTTTACATACATACCATACATAAATACATACATTCATTCATACAAACATAAATACATACATACATACATACATACATACATACATACATACATACATACAAATACTGTATATAAAAGCTATGCTTATTATTTTTGCAGCAGAAGCAAACTCATCGTGTTTTTTGTCTCCTTACATTTTCTGTCCTCTGAGCTTGAGCTATAACTTTTTATTTAATCAGCTCTTCGCAGAGCATGGAAATTAGTTGCAAAGCCCCTCACAAGCAGGCAGGATGTATTCTTCTAATCTTCCATGGAAAGCATACTTCGCCTTTCTGAGCCTTTAAGTGCTGCAAGATGAAATATGTCCAGTCATTAATTTTTTATGACTGCTAATGATTACTATAAATTCTCAAATGCATTTAAGACATCTTATATTAATTGAATTAAAAGGTTGATTTTTATTGAACATTCTCTTGAAAAAACCTTCATTTCAGGCTCATTAACTGACTCCTTTTGTTTCCTCTGTCAGTGGTTCTAGCACTAATGGCACCTTGAAGTAGGACAGCCCTCCAATTTTTTGTGCCACCTGTCACCAATTGCTCATCCTGAAGGAAACACTTCAACTAAAACCACCCCAGCCTTCCAAGCAGAATTATAAACTCGCTTTGACAATCCAGTAAACAACAGTTTTGGATATTTTCCATAACACTCATTTGATGTCTAAAATATGATTTTCTTACGAATAATAATTCTGTTTCAGAAATGCACAATGTACATTCTTCAGGAACAGCTTCTGTAAAAGAGGTACTTTTATAAGACTCCTCAGTCAGGGACTCACATCAAGATCTACTATATGTTTTTTGGTTGTTTTATTTCCTGTGTTGTTTCCTACATCCTACTAGTGCTTCTTTATTCTTCAGTGTWGCTCATTAGTGTCCCTCATTAAGAGGTGTCAAAATATTCACGTTCATAACTCAGGTAGAAGTGTAGATACTAAGATTTAAAAAGACTTCTGGTTTAAAAAATACTTCAAGTATAAAATTTAAAGTATTGTAAAGAAAAAAGTCATTAAGGGCAAAAGGGGCCTATAATGCACAAYTATAAAATAAAATAATATATATATACATAAATAAAAAAATAAATAAATAATAAAAACATGTTTGAAAAGGGTATAATGACTATAACGTTATCAAAAAGTTAATGATAAAAATTTAGAATGCAAGAAGCTCACTGTTTCAGCCACATATAACTGCAACGGTCATCTTCATTGGCTACGTGTGTCTTTTTTGTCTTTGTAGGAGTATGATATGATTAATATGAAGGTGTAATGGATTGCATGCATAGGGTGTCAAAATTATATATTTGTTCTTCTTATAACCACAATCAAAGTCACTTTTTCCAGGAGGTTCAATAAATCTAAATTTTGTTTTTTTTAAACAATGACAAGCCAATTTTTTAAATGTAAAAAGTACAGATAATTTCGTTAAAATGTAAGAAGTAGACGTAAAAAGTCGACTGAAAAATATTTACTCAAATGAAGAATAGATAACCAGAATCTCTACTTCAATTATAGGAAGTGTTTGTACTTCTCTACGTGACACCTCTGATACCATGTATTAACGTTTTTGTTTGTTTCCATGTTTTACTCTGACAGTGTCCGTGTCGCTGTAAGTTGGAAGTACAATTTTATGCTGGCCTGTCTGCATTTTTCATTGTAAAATTAATCCTTTTTTTTTTCTTTAAAATGTCTGTCTGCTCCTTGGAGTTAATTTTCACAAACCCAACACTTAGAGGCCTGATTACCTCGATGTGACTTCTGAAAGGACTGAGGAGGGGGGTGTCAAAGCCAGCCCACTCCTGATGGGCCTTTGTGACATGGTTAGTTAGTTTGAAACCTAAGTGCAAACAGAGACAGAGGAGAATCGATGATAAACAGCAAAAATACTTTATTTAAATTGAAACTTAAGTGCAGAGCTAGAAGGAGAAACAATGATAAACAGCAAAATACTTTATTTAAATTAAACAGCTTATGAAGTACCACATAAACCCTCTCAAGAAACACTGAGAGGAACACAGCAGACAAACACAATGACTGGCTCATTGAAAGCACAACACAGAGAAGGACTTTAAATATAAAGGGCGGCCTAATGAAGAAGCACCTGTAAGGGAGACTGACAGGAACCAGAGGGGGAGGGACTAACCAGCCACACAGAAATTAAAGTCACAGAAGAAAGCACAGTAAAGGGACAAACACTCATGTGCCTAAAACCAGGTTAGATACTTTGCTATTGTCAAAGAGGAGTATGACTGAATAAACTATGGTAAGCCCAAGAATAGAGCCTTGGGGTACTCCACAGTTTGATAAATGAAGATGGACAATCATCAGCAACCACGTTATAGCTTATACATATTCACAATATTTCAGTGTTCCCCTGAGATCCAAAAGCTATTTTTTCTCTTATTTATCAATCAGAACAGCGGCATGTAGAGGCTGCAGCTGCAACCTTAACTTCGGAAACTCAAGTCAGGGAGTTTGGTGAGAGCAGTGGGGGTGGAGGTGGGCTGAGGACTCGTTAAGTTTCCTCAAAGGGGCAGCTGAGACGCACGCGTGTGCAGGTGTTTCCAAAACCTCTCCACCACTCTCACAATAACGATCTTTAAAAGAACTCCCTCCTTCCCTCATATCTGCATGATTCCTTATCGCTCCCGAGGGGGGAACCAACGCCAGCGTGTGCGCGCGCAGCCACCCACGGGGCGCGTGCACGGATTAATCATATCTGTGGAGCGCGAGAGGGAGACGGTGAGTCCGGTGTGACTTATCTACCCTACACTGCTGCTGCCTGTAACTGCGCGTCAAGCACGCACACACACACCTACACACACTCCCTGACATCTCATATTCAGCAGGAGCGAGAGAGAGAGAGAGAGAGAGAGAGAGAGAGAGAGAGAGAGAGAGAGAGAGAGAGAGAGAGAGGCGACACATGCCAGACGAGATCGAACAGGAGATTGTACCGGATTCCGCTGCTGCCCCCTCTCCCCCTCCCCTCAGTCCTGCGCTAACGGGACACCACACCGGGTCCAGACGGAGCGGGGAGAGGCACCGTTCCAGGAGAGAGTGTGATTAAGAAAGCAAAGAAAAGGAGTCACCTGGCTGCGGAGGGAGAAGGGAGAGGTGAGGAGGAGGAGGAGGAGGAGGGCAGTGGGGCGCAGGAGAGGAGGTGGAAGCCTTCCTCCTGCTTTGGGGGTAACGACGCAACCTCAACGGAGAGTCGGCGCAAAGTTTCCCCGATGGCGCTGGTGATGGAGCCGGTGAGCAAATGGAGCACGAGCCAGGTGGTGGACTGGATGAAAGGTATGTTATTAAACAATAACTAAAAATAATAATTAGATTTAAAAAAAAAAATCACCTGACATCACAAACAGACACAGTCCTGATGATTATGTCGGACGCAGGGGATACACAGAGTGACAAGATGCCACGGCGCGTGGGAGGTGTGTTCGCGTGAGTGTGTCCGTGCCTCATTCTAGCACCTGATGATCAGTGGGTGATGATGCAGCCGGGTGTGAGAGTGACAGCAGGAGATAAAAAAGAGCTCAACTTCAGTGCTGAGGACAGGGCCGGATTTACAAACTTTTAAGAGAGGGGGGCCACACTCAGGGGGGTCCTGAAATTGTTTACTGTAGGATTGAAAGTTTATTTGCTCTGTCAGATCCACTGTATWTCAATGTTTTTTTCTGCCTTTTTTTTGACATTTGCTTTCTAATTTACAATTATGCTCAAAGCTTGTGATTATTTTAGAAAGTGTCAAACATTGGCCAAATAAATCAGCCAACCAATTAGTAGGTCTACCTTTGGACCAATTCGCTTATGGCTGGTGTGTGTGTGTGTGTGTGTGTGTGTGTGTGTGTGTGTGTGTGTGTGTGTGTGTGTGTGTGTGTGTGTGTGTGTGTG